TCAGAGTCTCACTGCATGTGTTTTCTCCTCCTCTGTGCAGGCGAGTCACTCTCAGCTGGGCTTTTCAAAGCATAATGTTTCTAGAAGTTTTGAAAACTGGTTTTAGGCAGCACAGAACTGAAGAGCCAACAGCAGTGGTTAGTTTTGACTTCATCCCCATTTTGTCTGGTAACACTCCAACCGTCAAAGGGGGGCAAAATGACCTTCTCTCTGCAGAGGAGTGACATGGAAATAAATTAATAAATAGATTGCAAAGCAATTGTCTATTTTAGTATGGAGTGCTGGAGCAAATCTGTTGTGGAAATTAGTTCTGTCATCAGAACAGGGTTTAAGTAGCGTGCAATGGATATGGCAGGAGGCCTTGAGCATCAAACGGTGAAGGTGAAGTAAAACACCTCCATGCATGAATCAACCCCCTGGTCATCATGCTGATAAAGGCAGGAGTCCTTTAGGAGACTAAACACGTGCTTGTGTAACCAAAGACTGCATTAAATGGCACTGAGAAGTGTGCACATCATAGAAACCTTGCTTTTTAGCCCTTTCAGCAATGATTACATCTTTAATACCTGGCTGCCTTAAGTGAAGACCTTGCACAGAAAGTGATCTGCAGGATCACCACCAGAACATCTAACAGATTATCTCTTGGGGTGGTATGATCCATGGATCCAGGGCTTGGTTTTTACAGATCTGTGCATTATCTTTGAATATTGAATGACTTTGGAATTGTGATCCTTGAGCTTCATCACCAGACTGCAGTATTAGCCAGTGTTAATAGCATACAGTATTACTTTACATAAAGTATTAGCCAGCCATCACACAAAAATAATTTTCAGTACTACTCAACAGAATTGGAATGTGTGATTCTGCAGTTCAAGCTTGATGAAAACCTCTGACAAACTTTGGGACTATTACAAGTCCTTAGCTACCAAAGAAAAAGTTTTTGTTACTATGGGCTTCTCTGTGGATGTTTTCTGTGAACCAGTCATATGACACCCAGTTTGGATTCCATTGCAATCAGTAAAAAAAAAATTAAAAATCAATCATATTAGTATTGTATCCTTGACCTGCAGCAGTTTCCCCATCTGCAGGTTGGCAATAAGCAGGCAACATTTAATGGTAGCTGAGCGCTTTGAGATCCTTGGATGGTGAAGGTCAAAATCCACAGTATTTTTTTTTTTGGTCCTGTGACAGACTGGATTTCACTTACACACTATTATTTTGAGAAGTATGTTAGGTTATTTGGCTGTCCATGCTGACAATGACAATAAATAACTCTCCACACCTCACTGAGAGAACGAAGCGCTATTTACAGATTATAGTGTGGATAAGGCAGGAATACTGTTCCCATCACTACACTAGAGGATCTGTCAGCACTTCCATTACCATACTTAAATTCCAGTGGTTTGCAATCCCATTTTGATTACCATTACCAAATAGACTGCTATTTTTCAGCTTTATTAATGTTAAGTGAATAAATCATGGGAGTTAAAATTGCTTTTGTTCTCCCATAACTAAAATTGGCTTTAAGTTCAAACAATGAAATTTGGAATGTAATTCAATTTGTCCAAAAGAAAAAAGAAAGAGATAATGTCAAAGGACTGGCCACTTCATATACTTAGAATTCAATCTCATCATCATGCATCTAGATCTGTACTGACATGATGATTTACCAGAAAAAATAATACTCCTGTGGAGCTCTTCCAATTGCTCTGATACCTCGTATCATTTTTTTAAAACTGCTTAAATACACATTTACATTGTGTCTGGGTGGTCTTTGGGTTAAAAAATATGCTTTCAATAACTTTCCTTCAAATACATATTTTTATTTTAATAAAAAAGAGGAAATTAAACACAAAAAAACCGATGTTATTTTAACATTGAGGTTTCAACAATAATGAAATTCAAATTTAAGATTGACACACCATCTTAACTCATTCAACAATGTATTCCTAAGAAATGCCAATAATGGGATGAGTTATGATGAATAAACCAGTCCTAAATAAAACCTCTTAAGTTATTTTTCATTCCTGATAAGTATGTGCACATGAAGGATTTTCCCCTCATGATTATGTGGGAAAAAAAAAAAACCAAACCCAAAAAAACTTGTGAGCTTGAAACTGAACTTTACTTGAGAGTGTGCAAGCTTTGTTTTCATGCAAAGGGTGTGCAAGATGCCCCTTGGGGACCCCAAGGTCAGCAGGTAACGCAGCCCATGTCAGGTGCCTCCTCCAGGAATGGGACTGGCTAGCCCATGATATCACTGAAGGCACAAGGAATGCAGCCTGACCTTTGCTGACGATTCCTCGGAGCTCCTGAGAGCTGATTTTGTTCAGCATGACTGAAGTAAATGCGCTCTCTCTCTGGAAAGGCCTTACCTTCCGTGATGGGGAATGGGATAAGGCCACCACTAGTGCTGTTCTTGTCATGTCTTGTCTTTCCAGATGCAATGCCCACAGTGCCTCATGCTACAGACTTCCAACAGGTCATATCTGACTGCTTGTTTGCATCTGACTGTGTGCTAAGGTCTTTTTTAAAAGCATCTCATTTGAAAGGTGTAGTGGGACAGTGAGAAGCAAAGTCAGGCTGCTTGCCTTGGTTTAGCTGCTGCATTGAATAAATTAAACCTGGAGAGAGAAGAGAGAGGAGAGAGGGCACTTTCCTGCAGTCTGCAAAAGCAGGCAGTGTGTGAGGAAAGGACTTTTCAAAGGTACAGCTTTGCAGCAGAAGCTTAAACTGGTGACTGGAAGATGAGGGAGCAAACTATGTACAGCCCTGGCTCAGACTGATGAGAAGAGACTACAGATTCAGAAAGCCTTTGAAAAATATGTAGAAAGGTGGGAAAACATTCAAATGTAGAATATAGGTGTATATCTCTCCCTCTACACTCACACTTAATGACCTTGTAATGTTATTCTGTTTTATCCAGCAGATTTTTTTACTTTCTACCTGTATAAATTTAATTAAATTTCAAGTAAAACCCAGATTTTGAAATCTATAGGATTATGGTGGTTTGGGGGTGTTTACAATTAAGAAATAATTGTAAAAAAGCTCTGGCTAACTTAGAATGCTTTCATGGTTGTAATTTGCCTTCCTTCCTGGTCATAAAATGTAAGGCCACTGGCTTTTATTTGAAAATCCAGTTGAAGAGCATAACATACAAGGTCTAATTCTTCCTTATGGGATTTAGAGTCTGTGGCTAGATGTTGAGCTTCAGAGTTATTCCATCTCTGTTAGCGCCAAGGATTGCAGCCATCCTTTGTTTTCATTTTCCAGTACTGGACAAAAGAGAAGCTGATGCTGTCACACAGATTCTATTCAAAATCTTGGCTTCCATGATTTATTTAAAATTGCCCTCCAAGTATTAACGCCTCTGCAATGAGGCAAGTGCCAGATTTTAATTTACAAAAAACTCAGGGTTAATCCAATGAATAGCAAGAATAGCAATCTTATGCCACCTCATATTAACCACTGATTAGCAGCAAATATAGAAATTTGCTTTACAAAAATGGTAGTTGAATGGCAATTTAATAAATTATGACTTAGAAAACCAAAACACCCTGTTTAACCTTCACTTCACATGGTGACAAAAATATATAACATAAATAAGCAGAAATATACAGCAGTACTGTTTTCTCTAGAAACTTACTTCCTGTTGCTAGAGGAGATGTGAAAACAGATTTCTTTGCAAAATAGGAATTTTAAATTAATTAGATGCAAAAATCGCAACCACATACAACTTCTCTTTTCTGGAAATATGCATAACTGCTGGCAAAACTGAACCATGACAAGTTAGTCCCAAGAATAACAGAAACAGAAGGACAGACCAAGTGTGGACAGAAATCCCCTTTTGTCTCAGTTCTGACAAATACTCCCAAGCCAGTAATCATTCTGGGAGGAAACTGTTGCTTCATGCAAACACTATGATCCAGAGGTCATACTTTCTTGCCTAAGACACATTTCTGTGGTAAATCCCCCAGTTCTCGCAGTGCTTCAGGTCTTGCCCCACAGAAGGCAAGAAGGATGAAAAGTCATAAACCATGGTTTTAAAGGATGTGGCATTCCCTTGGGCGCATACTCAGCCTGTGCAAATGCAGCCATTCCCACAGGTGACACCCTTCGTTCTCTGTATTTCACCTGTGAATTATTTCATGGCTCTTTTCCTGCACCCCATGCCCCCAAGAGTGAAGGCTAGGGTGTGCATCCTGAATCCCCGGCCACGAGGTTGCAGAGTGCAGATTCCCCTCCAAGAGCGAAGAGCACAGTGCTCTGCCCTGTGCCCACCCAGAGGCTTGGCACTTTGTCCCCATTTTCCCCTGAAAGAAAGAAAGAGCAGGCCTAAGGCAAGAGAGAGCCAAGATGCCAAGACAGGCAGTCCCCTGTCCGGGATGGGAAGCCTGCCCAGGCCCTATGCTCCGGGAAGTCAGACGAACCCCGGGTATGCATAATCCTAATGGCAGAAAGAGTTTTGTACAAATACAGAAAAACGATCTTGTGTCAAATACCCACATTTCAGGTCAGTTTCTAAAGAATACCCACTTGACAGGTCAGTTTCTAAAACTTTACAGGTCAGTTTCTAAAACTTTTTTTTTTTAATAAAAAAGCGGTTTTTTTTTTTTTTTTTTTTTTTTCCAGCTTTTATTTGGAACGGGGTAAATATTACACTGAAGATTCCGGACATCTGGCATGTTTGTGACAGCAACACCGAGCTCAGTACACGCGCCCTGCTGCCGGGAGCCAAGGGTGATGCGGCGGGCGCGGCCGGCGGGCCCGCTGGCCCCCGTCCTTCTCACCCTCTCGGTGCGTGCCTCCGTGCCGCGGGCCCGGCCGGCGGAGGCGGGGGATATCCCGGGAAGCGTTCTCCCTTCCCGCTGGCGCGGGGAGTTCTCCTGGGCTCGGGGGAGGCGGGGCGGCGGCGCGCGGCCGCGCGGGGGCGCTGCGGGCCCTGCGCGCGGCCTGGGGGTTGCGCGTGCCGGCCACGGCATTCCCGCTGCCCGCTCGGCGCGCAGCGGCCGGGAATGGGGGAGCTGCTGCCGCCGTCGCCGCTGCTGCTGCTGCTGCCGCTCTGCCCGCGCCCCGCGGCTCCGGCGCCGCCTCCTCCTTGCTCGGCCTGAAGCGCGGTCGCACTCGCGGATCCCGGCGGGGAAGGGGCCATGGGCCGCCTCCCCGAGGCGCGGTGGCTGTGAGGCGGCCGGCGCTCGCTCGGGGAGCCGGGGGCAGAGGCTGCCGGCGGCCGGCCAGGCTGCGCCGGGGAGGGGAGTGCCGCTCGCCGGCAGCACCTCGGTGCCGGCGACTTGGGGGTGCCGCTGCCCGCCCGCCCGGCCGCGGCGGTGGATGGATGCGCCATGGCCACGCTGGTGTGCCGGGTGCAGCTGCTGGATGACACCGACCCCTTCAACAGCACCAACTTCCCCGAGCCCACCCGGCCGCCGCTGTACACCTTCCGGGAGGACATCCCGCTCGCCACCCAGCTGGCCGGGGTGCACCGCCTCCTCCGCGCCCCGCAGAAGGTACCGGGGAGGGCAGGGGCGTGTGGGTGGGGGGGCACCGGGCGAAGGGCAGCGGCCTCTCCGCAAGCGCCCGGCAGCGCGGAGCAGAGGCGGGCGGGCGGCCCCGGCCCCTGCGGGGCGGCAGCCAGGGCTCCGCGCCCGGGGCTGCCCCGCCGGCTCCCGTGCCTCCGCCGGCGCTGTTTCTCGCCCCGGCAGTATCGGCATCTCTGTAAGTCCTGGGGAGAGGCCCCGGGGAACGGCGGAGGGGTTCCCTCTGCTGCTCTCCTGCGTTCCCAAACGCTCTCAAGGGCAGCTACCCCCTCTGCTTTAGGTGTGGCTGCCCCATTCTTTCCCTAGGAGAAGAAAAACCTCATCAAACCAGAGGCCAAGTTGGGTATCAGGTACTCGGTGCCTGTCCTTCGCTAGCGTTGTCTGGGTATCTGGGGATACTGCGGGATAAGGTGCTGTGTCGGGCCAGCCGGGCACGGTCGCGCCGGCAGGACCCGGGCTTTGCCTGGTGAGGTTTAATGAGCCAGGCAGTTCCAGCCGGGGCTTTGTAAAAATAGCAGCGTCTGCTGCCCTTGAAACAATCGGTGCTACTAGTCCCTCTTGCGAAGAACTGCAGCATGGCCCTTGTCAAGTCTTACCTATCTCTTCTTGCATGCTTTCTCTAATACATGTGCTGGCATTTGTAGCTCTGCCCTTGAAATCAGGCACCCGAGCATTATCCTTGAATTTTTAGTTTTCAAAGCAATGCCATTGATTGACATAATAATAATGTCCTTTCATTATTATCTTGTATCTGCACATTAGTTCTGCAGAGTGCACTGAAGAAGAAAGGAAAAAATGCCCACTTTTTTTCTACAAAGTAGAAGTTGTAAAACTTTTATTTGCTCTGTGATGAAGTGGGAGGAAAATACTCTCTTAACATCACTTGTTGTATTATGCTCATGGGAGCCTGTGGAAAGGTGACAAAGGGCTGTGTGTCCCCTTAGATTTAAGGATATCCAAAACCCCATAAAAGCATTTCAGAGAAAAGCTCATGGAGCAGACAGAAGTTTTGCATTTGTAGAACGGTTTCCTTGCATAATAGTTGCCAAGGATACAGCATCCACTGAACAGAGCTCTGCCTAAAGCACAAAAACTCTGGAAGCTCTTGGTGCGCTGGGTCAATTCTGTTTTCATGTGCTCAGTCGTCCCCAATTCAGAGAGTGGTCCCATTGTTTTCATGGGAGGCTTTTTTTTTTTTTTTTTTTTTTTTTTTTGGAGTTAGAGCTAATTAAAAGAAAGGCAAGATGGATTCTGACGCCTAATGAAGTAAATAAAGAGATAGTTTAAAATCTGGATTTAGAGTTAATTCGACTTCATTTTCAGAGACATTTCACTTTGTTATGTTTTGCTTTGGTTTGAATACTTCCCTGGGAATTTTTTATAACTTTTCATAGTAACACCACCACCAACTTGGTTTAGTGTCTTAGGAGCCAGCCAAAATCCATGGCCACTTGTATATGCTTCACTCCTGCCCAGTCTTTCTGTGTGCAGCATTTCTCAAGTTTAATTAATGTTTGGAAAGTGGACTTACATACTTGGGGTGGGAGATGGCCTGTGTCCCTAGAGGTGTGCTCTAAACCCGGCTATTGAAAGATCGCTGCTCTGCTAGAGGCAAGTTCTGGCCCAGTGAGTTGTTCATCTGAGGTTCTGGCTCTTCCAAATACTTTGTTTCCGTTGTGAGGGTGTAGGCAAGCTCATTGAAATCTGCTTACATGGTTACAGTTACCTTTGTGTTTGCAGAGCTGCCTGTTTCTGCCTTAATTATGTCTCTTGGCTATCTCTTGGCTTCTACAAGGTAAAAAAAAAGGGTTGGTTGATTAGACTTGTTTACCTTTATTCATCATAATGAAAGCATAGTTCCGTGTTTGCACTTGCAGTTAGAGCAGCATTTCTGTGTTCGGCATTACATCTTTGTACCTGTAATTCTGTAAAATAAACTGATTTGTGTTGCTTTCTTCTGTGGCTTTTTTTTTTTTTTTTTTTGCTTGTTTTGCTTTGTTTTTTTTTTTTTTTTTTTTTTTTTTGGGAGGTGGGCATATTCTTTCTGGAGCCTTTCCTCAAGACCATATTCAGTGGTCAACAGAAGATCACAACATTATTTGGCTAAGAAGAATTTTGCTCCATTTCACCCAGAGATCAGGGCAAATTCTGATCCCAGAGGAATGCAGCTGTCAAAGCAGAGCATAGGTTAAAATTCAGGTGTCGGTTTACATTGAGGCATCCAAGGTTTGATTGATTAATTACTTTGAAAATTAGTGAGCTAATGGATTGAGGGTCCATTTAGTATCATCACGGTGGCTAGAGCAGTATCTCTTGAAACAGACCTAGGAGTTTCTACCTCAAATGGTGTCCGTGCCCATGGCAGGAGTGTTGAAACTTTAAGGTCTCTTTCAACCCAAGCCTTTCTATGATGATGATAATGAAATGCATAGGAACACCAATGTTTAAATAATTTATGAAGTTTTATAAACTGGTGGTGTTTTTGCCAGCAGGTTTGAATGATCAGTGCTAGGCTTTTTTCCAGTAAGTTTTAAGTTGCCTTCTCTTGATTTGGGCAAACATTCACTTACTCTCTGAACAGAGTGGCCAGCTTGTTGCCTTCGCACCAGTGGATGATTTGCACATCTTTTAGATGATGTACCGCTGTGGGATGTACTTGATAGGATGAAGTCAATGTCAGGAATCCAGCTCACTTCAATGGGGTCAGATTTCGCCACTGCTGTCTTGAAATTAGTAATGATGACAGTGTAGTGACGGTGGTATTTTTGTAGTTAGTAAAACAACTTGTATACTGCAAGTCATTGTAAGTTAAACATTATAAACAATTATTAAGAAAACCATTTAAAAAGTAAACAAAAAATGCTTTGACATTTGGACCTGTCATAGTATGTCATTAGTAGCTTTTTTGTAACCAGCAGATGTTCTAGTTTGATTCCAAAGAGCAGGATTTCTTCACTCCAGTTCTTTGAAAGTACAACTCAGTTTTGCATGTTGGTTTTACAGCTTCTTTTCTTTAATCTCACACTTTTACTTGAGTTTGGATGCAAGTCTAGATCTATACACAGTCTTCTGAGCAGCAATGCTTTTAGGTCCTTATGCAGGTTCACTGGGACGTTAAGAAACTGAGTTCTGAGAATAATGTTTGGGATGGTCTTTGCTACCCTGAATAACATGCAGCACCTGAGCAGGTTGATAGGGAAAACTGGTAAGAGTCTCTGCGATCTTTCTTTCACTTGTATTTGGGTGCCTAATTGTATCCTCCTGCCTGTTTTTTCCCCTGCTTCTCTGTGTGCACATACTTTTCTCTACATCCATATCTCTGGATACAGCAGCTTGTTGTTCATTGGGTTGTGCTCAGTTCTGTCTGGCATTCACACTGAGCCTCATGGGGCAGGGCACTGACATCAGGAATGCTTGTTTCAGCTATCCCCCATGGTTACGAGTGATTTGGTCCTAGATGATAACACACCATCCTAGTTGATGATACAATGAAGCACTGCAAATTCTGTTACAGTATTTTTAGCCACATTTACAAATTCTTGCTTAGTAACTATGCCACGTTGCAGAGTTTTGTGGTTTGCCTGTATTGATTTGGCTGCCTAAGGTGCCATTTTGAATTTGGCTTTTATTGTTCATGAGGATTTTAGGTCACTCTTACTGTCTGTTGTATGAAATAGAATTGGATCTAGTTTGGACTCTGACTTCAGATGTCCCTTTTGCCCATTTCTGTGAACCTTGGGAAAATTCAGAATTGGGTCTAAATTTGTGGCTCAGGCCCTATGCCAATAACGCTCTTTGAATCTAATTCAGTACATTGGGTTTGTTGGTTTTGAATTGCTTTGAGTTACTTGATACTTATAACTTGCTGACATAGGGTCGCTCAGGAGAGTAGCTATATATACATGGCTCATGTCAAGTGGTGTGCTTTTTTTAGAGATCTTCTTCATTATAACCTATTCACATAATTACAGCATGCTGAGTATGTTGCCGTAGTCTGTTTTCACATGCCACAGTAGTGTTCAGTGTTGGGGCAGCTCTTTAAGAAATATATCTTTACAATTATATAGGACATCACACTGCCTAATTTATCAAGAAAACTTAATTGAAATACTTTGTGTAACAATGGAAAGCAACAAAAAATCCTTCCATGCATTTGGGGTACTGGTGGAGGTGGCGTAAAGGAGAGTTATAGTGCCATAAGGATAATTGTTTTGATCTCCTGTTCCCTCTGAGAAAACTGGAGACAACTTCTGTGTTTAATTGCCTTCCAAGAATTTGTAATTAGGAACAGTGTCATTCAGAAAACAGTGGTATAAGCAAATAAATGCAGAGCTCTAGAGGGATTTGGGAGTTTCATTCATAAAGAAACCATCCACGTTTCCGTCTTCAGCTGCTGTGATTTAGCCCTACATTTAAGCCAGGGCTCACTCTGAGGCATGGTGTGATGTAAACTGATAGCAGGAATAGTTCCACTGGTTGTGTCCTGGCATGGAGCTCAGCTCTGGCATTGAACTCAGTGCCAGGCTATACCCTGGCAGCAGCCTCAGGTTTTCTGAGAGCAGTAAGTCTACCAGCTGGCTCCTCTTCCATGGGTTTCTTTGGCATTAAGTAATAATGCATTGGTCCACAGACACTAAGCAGAAAAAGAAGAAAGTATGGTTTGAATCCTGATCCTGATGTAGGTACTGGTAAAGAGCAGCTGTTCTCTGAAGAGAGCATTTTTGGGTTAGTCATTATGTTGTTAATGGGAGCTGAAGAATAGAAGATGGAAACTGGAATATTGTCATGTTCCCAGGGAAAATGAACCCACACCTAAGGGAAGCTGGTTGGTATCTTCTGCAAGTGTTGCTGCTGAGGACTGGGAAATATTATAGTTGAGGGCTGTCAAGACCCATAGGTCTTTCATATTCTGCCTGAAGCAGGTGGACATCAGCCTTTTTTCATCCTTCGAGAGAAGAGGGGATTTAACA